GGAATCATCCCCTGGTAGTGCAGATTTAATTTTATACAAATCATGACCCCCGGGGCTTAGGGGTGGGGCCAAAATGGCCGACCAAAGTTTTACATAGAAATATATAGGAAAATTTTTTAAAAATTTTCTTCTCAAGAACCACTGGGCCAGGAAAGCTGAAACTCATCTTGAATCATCCTCAGGTAGTGTAGATTCAAGTTTGTTCAAATCATGACCCCTGGGGCTAGGGTGGGGCCAAAATGGCCGACCCAAGTTTTACATAGGAATATATAGGAAAAATCTTTAAAAATCTTTTTCTCAAGAACCACTGGGCCAGGAAAGATGAAACTCATGTGGAATCATCCTCATGTAGTGTAGATTCAAGTTTGTTCAAATCATGACCCCTGGGGCTAGGGTGGGGCCAAAATGGCCGACCAAAATTTGACATAGGGATATGTAGGGAAACCTTTTAAAATCTTCTTTTCAAGTACTTCAAAGCCATGATTAGTGATATTTTTCTATTTTAATGGAATCATCCTCAGGTAGTGTAGATTCAAGTTTGTTCAAATCATGACCCCCTGGGGGGTTAAAATTCAAGCCCCCCCCCCCCACCTCAGTAAACTTTAAGTTCTGATCTGATATGTGCTTTTTTTCTAGCCGATGTGCTCAGGTGAGCGCTGTGGCCCCTGGGCCTCTTGTTTAGTCATATTCATTGGAATTTTTCACCATTTTGACAACTGATATATTTGTAACCATGTATCATTAAATAAACTATATATTCTAAGGTTTTTAATGGGTAAATTAAAAACTTTCTAGAAATTATTGCATGAAAATTGGCAATTTGCCAAAATTGACTTTTTTTAGTCATATTCAATGAAATTTTTCACCATTTTGACAACTGATATATTTGTAACCATGTATCATTAAATAAACTATATATTCTAAGGTTTTATGAGAATAAAAAAAATTATGGGTAAATCAAAAACTTTCTAGATATTATTGCATGAAAATTGGCAATTTGCCAAAATTGACTTTTTTAGTCATATTTCAATTAAATTTTTCACCATTTTGACAACTGATATATTTGTAACCATGTATCTTTAAATAAACTATATATTCTAAGGTTTTATGAGAATAAAAAAAAATTATGGGTAAATGTACAGCTTTCTAGAAATTATATGCCCCTTCCCCCCCCCCCATTAATTACAAATAACAGAGAAGATCATCTAAGAACATGTTTTATCAAACTGAACAAATTGTTATGTTATATGAATATACATCAAGTATTTAAATTTCTTTTTAATAATTAAATAGAACTTCTGCAATTTACTAAGAGACAGGTAAATTAATATGTTGCCATGGAAACAAATCAGACTTCTAGTTACTTTATTCTAAATATGAAATAAAACAAGTGAGTTTCCAACAATTCTTAACAATCTTTTGTTGGCCTGTAATTGTTTCCAATTCCTTTGATTTATTCACTAAAATATGTTCAAATTCAAAACAATTGTTTATTTTTTTTTTAAATGTATAATTTAAGTAAAAAGGCAAACTCATATTTAATAAATGATATGAAAGTATCTAATGAAAATATAAAAGTAAGTCAGACAATATAATGTCAAAACAAGTTGGCAAGACCATCTTGATTATAATGTTTTTTTGCCCTCTCCAACTCATGGTAAAATTATTAAGTCAGAGGGTAGGTTGAAAAATCTTTTCCCAGAAAATTTCAAAATATTTGTTGATGAGATAAGATGGATAAAAAGAAAAAAAAATATCCTGTCTTGCAATGTAAAAAAAAAAGTTTTGAATTTTAGTCATTCTATTCGGGGAAGGCAAACAAATTTTTTTAATGGCCTTATATGCTAAATATTGTGGAATTAATTCTTAGTATCACATTGCTTATCAGCATATTCAGATGATCAGTTATACTATTATGTTCTTTTAATGGGTATAAATATTTTTAACCATTTGACCTTGACCTTAGACATTGACTGACTTAAAAAAAACTTTAACCTTAACCTCAACTTTTGAAGTTAGACTAGATTTTCATATTTCACAGGTGTTTTCCTTGTGACAAGACCTTTCTTGGGATACCTTGTGGGAGTCGTAGCATAAGCTGCCATGTATGGAGGAATCAGTGTTTCACAATTAATTTTGTTCTCAGTTTTGTTAAAATGTATTCATATTCTAATCATACATGACATACTGTGTGAAGCCTGCCAGTATAAAACTATAGATGTGTGAGTCCATGTGGGGGTATATAATAAATCAGTATACCACCTCTCCTGCAGAGTGGGGATATAAAAAGGGAAGAAACTGCTTCTTTTCATAATACTGCTTTTATAGAAAAGAAGTAAACATGACATTGGAATGTATGCTCCACTTAAACAGTGACATTTTTTAAAAATACAAGCAATCAATTTAGAATCAATTTAGAATACACATATTCTCTAAGGAAAACAGATGCTCTGCTTAAAAAAAATTCTGCTAAAATTTGTTCCTCCATATTCTCTCATTTGATGTCAGCTTGGTTTCCTCAAATTACATCACATTTCTTTATGTCCTTTCATAAGTTTGAAAAATAGCTCAGCCTTGCAATTTGCTGTGGATTTTAGTAATGATTTTTCGAAAACCCTCTCTATATCCTTCTTGCACCAGTGACAACTTTTACTGGATCTTCTTTTCTTTCTGTTCTTATTCCTGCTTTCTATTTTTCATGTAAACATTACTTCCTGTCCACTGTGATTTTTTTTTTTGGGGGGGGGGCTGTGTGTCCTCTGCTCTGGTCATTTCTATCTGTTCACATGAAAATAAAAAAAAAAATACCATTAATTTTTGGTCAGTTTGGATAAAAATTCATCAAAAATTATTTTAAAAACTTAAAACTGGAATCTTAAAATTTCGCTATATATAAAACATGTGCATTTTCAACCTCTAAACATTATTATCTCCCTTTATGCATTGTCAAGGCAATCATGTCTAAAGTCACCATGAATACATGTAACTTAATATACAATACATGTACCTGTCTGGTCTCCTTGCTAGAGGATCTGTAATCTTGAGAATCTTCATTAGGAAAATCTTGCAAGGGCTGCAATGATCTGTGAATTTAAATTATTTTTTAATTTGAAAGTTTGGGTTAAAATCCTAAACATCAAATATATATTACATGTACCTGATATTTAAATGTTATCCTGAAAATTTTCTGAATCATGAGGAATGATTGATAAAGGAGGGGATTCAATGTTGTCATCAAGCATTTTTTTTTAAATTCAAATAGTTAAAGCTTTTCTGCGGTTTGGACAAATTGCCGGAGATCTAGAGTAGAAATGAATTTGACAACAATTAATTTTTAAAGTGGTAAATGAAATGTTATTATATCATGAATTAATTATAATAAAAACATACCTGTTTTATAGATACTACATGTAATGTAGTATAATTCATTTTGTTCTTTAATGTGACTATTTTTAATTTGTACAATATGTCCTTGACATGTAAAGTACACAGCATCAGAATGATCTCATATGTACAGATCAATATTGTAAAACTAAAACTATTCAAAAATGTGTGTAAGATTGATATGCCTACAATATATAGCTGAAAAACAGTGATCAGTAAAATAAAATTACGAGACAGAAAGCTGCATCTTAGAAAAGTCAATAAAGAGTGCTTCATGACAATTAACTAATTTATAGGAACTCCAAGTACAAATGAAATGGATTTGTCACATTCTAACACCCTTGGATAGATTTCTTTACCTACTTTACAATGCATTACCTTGCAGAGCAAATAACTTAATTGTATCAAGGTCTCAAAAATGATTTCACATAGTATGACAAAGTATATGTACTTAGATCTAGAACACTATTAGCGGCTGTAAATCTGCATGTTTGCATACACATGTACTGAGTTAATTTTCATAATTTTACACTTTACTTACATTTTTTTTATCAATTCTTTCAAATATTCTACGGTCCTCATATTGCTTAAAATTTCAAAAAATCTAACCCACTATTCAGTTATCATTGTCAAAAGTCAAAGGTTTAATATTTTCGTGGTATGATTTCTACAAATCCTGTTTGTTAAAATAGAATGGACACAAACATATTATCACTTGGAATCATAAATTTATACAAACAATTTTCTTCAAATATACTGAATTTTATAGAAAATAAAATACCGGTACTATTTTTCAGTAGTATATGATTCAATGTCATGTACATGTAATATGTGCAACTGTGCATCCAAGTTTTCATGGTTTTGTTTGTTTGTTTTTATTGTCTTATATTTCAGTAGACAGTCAGTTACCAGGTACATGAGACAACTGAACAGAATTATAAATTAAAAAAATACTTACACATTGCAATGGGGATTAGTCGGGGACTACCACACCAGTACATGTATCTCTCGATCTCTATTTCAAAGACATCTTGAAGGGAATAGTTAAAATCTTCTCGGCCTTCGCCCCATACCACCCTGATTTCCTCATATTTTCCTTTCTACGAGTAGCTATAGTATGTGTAATACTCATCATGTCCAGATCAACCCTTCGGCTTTTCTTAAAGATTATCGCTACTTTGTTAACTATTTTTCATCAAATTCTGAGTCTCTTGAGGTAGAATTTCCCTGAACAAGATGTTTCAAAACAAGAAGAAAAAATGCAGATTTTATTGTCTGCCATCTTGTTTACATATTCTTCAAGGTATCACACCGGTAATTGACCAATCAAAATGAACTTAGTCAAATGTAGGTCCATACATATAAAATTATTTTTCTTTTCTTTTGAGGCGTTTTTCTATTTTCTTCCAAGCCATTTTTACAACTTTGGTACCTGTGCCTAGTAAATTTTATGTACTTTGTGAATAAATAAAGGTTTTTGACAGGAACTATTTTTTTCAGGGCATAGGAGGCTACTTCCTGTGATGCACTCGAGGTGTTTATAAACAAAGTGAAAACACGTGGATTTGAGGGTAGCCCTGTTTGCAGATGGAAAAAGTCCGAAAATGCCGTGTGGGTACCCTGTTTTTTGGTGTCAGCTAATGTGACAGGTAATGTTTAACATCTCCTGCTAAATATTTTTTCATGTAAACAAATACCTGATTTTTAATGATTTTTTATGCTATATAGAATTATATAGTGAAAACAATTACCGGTGTGATACCTTGAAGGTGATTATGAAAAATCATTTAAATCCTTATTAAAGACATTTTTCATTTTTAACAGGCATATTTCAACAGAATATGTGATTTTATTAACTTTTTGTTAGAAAACACACAATTTTAAAATTAGAATTAGAATTTACATTATTTTTCACAGATTTCTGTGTAAAAATTAACAATAGGTTATTTTTTACACTCAATACTTTAAAATATGAGTAAAAAGGTAGCATTATGCATCTAAAATGTAGAAATAAGTCAGAGAATGTTGTTTTTTCATTTTATATGACTTAACATTATTTGCACCAGCTGACCGCAGTCAATTATAGTATCTACAGACTTTGCGGTAAAGGGTGTTAAAGCTGATTTTTCAAGAATAGACTAATTCTAGGTTTGCGAATGAATTTTCAGCACAAGCGACAACTGCAATAAAATGTAAACAAGTGAAATATGTTCTCACAGAATGATAATTTCTACAGACATATGATTTATTTTAATTTATTCACACCTCCATTGATACATATTTTACTGCATTGGAAGAATAGAAATAATGAAATGAGTCAGATCTGTCTAATAAACTTCATACATAAGCTACATAAGTAAAATTCATTAAGAATTTTTCACAGGAAGGAAGGTTATGACCAAAAAATCCTTAAATACTGTCAGAGTCTGCATGATAATACTTATTCTGAGTTCTAATCATGCATCATACATGTAGTGCAGAATGTCACTTAGCAACATGGCATGCCTCTTGTGGTTCTCAGGACTTTATTCATGCTTTCGCAGCTGACATTCATGTTTTTTCACTTTGTCGGAGACTGTTTTTTGTTATTTTTTCATTTATATGTAGGTGTTGACTGTCACTTTTGATTTAAGTCTCAGTCAGTGATGCTTATATGAGCATGATCTATTAAGGATATCATTGTACTGAAATATTAATAAATTGCAAATTTAACTGATGAAGAAATTTGGCATATTTACATAATTAAAATATCAGAATAACTATAATTCAGCTAATAAGGTGCACCTTTCTTCTCAGATCACCTCCTATAAATTTTATCAGCAGTTTTTGTACACCCACCCCCCTCAAAGAATCATGGAGGATGTCCTGAAACTGGTCTCTGTGATGCATTTTGTTACATATAAAAGTGTTCAAACCCATAAAAATGTTTAATATTTATATTTTAAAATTTGAATTTTTATTTTTTATGTAAATTTTGTGAAACAAAAAGATGTAATCTTGCATAAATCATGGAAATTCATTAAACACCTTTGGAATTCCTGAGTAAATCCATGAAAAGAGAATAATTATGCATGTTAAATTGAAATTTCATGGCTACTTTGTGTCTTAAGAGAAAGCCAGTTACATAAATCACAACAATAAATTACATCTGAATTGTTGTCTCCATTTTCTTATCATCAAAGCCAGTTTATTGGAGTGTGGGAGCTGTCAAGAACCTCCCTAGATGCTGATATCATTTAGACTGTCCTGGGTTACAACACAGCATTTAGATAAACTTCTGCACAGCAGCTTGAAGACAAATACCTAGGCTTTATTTGGAACATAAATTGACCAGATACAGTTTTCATTATCAACCCAGTATTTAACAATTTCTGTATTTTTGTTCATTCTTTGAAGGGGAAAATGCAACTTTGTTATGTAATAATTACATAATGGTCTTAGACTTGTAACCTCTTTTTTGTTTGTTGTGAAGAACAAAGCATATACTCTCCACAGATAAAAAATTGGTTGCCAAGCTTATTCTTTTAATGATGAAATTCTGCTTCAAAAGATGCACAAAAAACTGCTTCCAGAGTGCTCTGTGTGTTATTCTTGACTGCTCTGGAGTAAGGGAGATAAATGCTTCATATCTTCAGAAATAAGGGGATTTAGATCACCAGACTTGAGGATGTTGGGGACAATTATTTAATAAATCTCAGGTGCAAAAATGAAAAAAATCCAACACCTTCAAAGGTCCTTCAAGGTATCACACCGGTAATTGACCAATCAAAATGAACTTAGTCAAATGTAGGTCCATACATATAAAATTATTTTTCTTTTCTTTTGAGGCGTTTTTCTATTTTCTTCCAAGCCATTTTTACAACTTTGGTACCTGTGCCTAGTAAATTTTATGTACTTTGTGAATAAATAAAGGTTTTTGACAGGAACTATTTTTTTCAGGGCATAGGAGGCTACTTCCTGTGATGCACTCGAGGTGTTTATAAACAAAGTGAAAACACGTGGATTTGAGGGTAGCCCTGTTTGCAGATGGAAAAAGTCCGAAAATGCCGTGTGGGTACCCTGTTTTTTGGTGTCAGCTAATGTGACAGGTAATGTTTAACATCTCCTGCTAAATATTTTTTCATGTAAACAAATACCTGATTTTTAATGATTTTTTATGCTATATAGAATTATATAGTGAAAACAATTACCGGTGTGATACCTTGAAGGTGATTATGAAAAATCATTTAAATCCTTATTAAAGACATTTTTCATTTTTAACAGGCATATTTCAACAGAATATGTGATTTTATTAACTTTTTGTTAGAAAACACACAATTTTAAAATTAGAATTAGAATTTACATTATTTTTCACAGATTTCTGTGTAAAAATTAACAATAGGTTATTTTTTACACTCAATACTTTAAAATATGAGTAAAAAGGTAGCATTATGCATCTAAAATGTAGAAATAAGTCAGAGAATGTTGTTTTTTCATTTTATATGACTTAACATTATTTGCACCAGCTGACCGCAGTCAATTATAGTATCTACAGACTTTGCGGTAAAGGGTGTTAAAGCTGATTTTTCAAGAATAGACTAATTCTAGGTTTGCGAATGAATTTTCAGCACAAGCGACAACTGCAATAAAATGTAAACAAGTGAAATATGTTCTCACAGAATGATAATTTCTACAGACATATGATTTATTTTAATTTATTCACACCTCCATTGATACATGTGTTACTGCATTGGAAGAATAGAAATAATGAAATGAGTCAGATCTGTCTAATAAACTTCATACATAAGCTACATAAGTAAAATTCATTAAGAATTTTTCACAGGAAGGAAGGTTATGACCAAAAAATCCTTAAATACTGTCAGAGTCTGCATGATAATACTTATTCTGAGGTCTAACCATGCATCATACATGTAGTGAAGAATGTCACCTTGCAACATGGCTTTCCTCTTGTAGTTCTCAGGACTTTATTCATGCTTTCGCAGCTGACATTGATGTTTTTTCAGTTTGTCGGAGACTGTTTTTTGTTATTTTTTCATTTATATGTAGGTGTTGACTGTCACTTTTGATTTAAGTCTCAGTCAGTGATGCTTATATGAGCATGATCTATTAAGGATATCATTGTACTGAAATATTAATAAATTGCAAATTTAACTGATGAAGAAATTTGGCATATTTACATAATTAAAATATCAGAATAACTATAATTCAGCTAATAAGGTGCACCTTTCTTCTCAGATCACCTCCTATAAATTTTATCAGCAGTTTTTGTACACCCACCCCCCTCAAAGAATCATGGAGGATGTCCTGAAACTGGTCTCTGTGATGCATTTTGTTACATATAAAAGTGTTCAAACCCATAAAAATGTTTAATATTTATATTTTAAAATTTGAATTTTTATTTTTTATGTAAATTTTGTGAAACAAAAAGATGTAATCTTGCATAAATCATGGAAATTCATTAAACACCTTTGGAATTCCTGAGTAAATCCATGAAAAGAGAATAATTATGCATGTTAAATTGAAATTTCATGGCTACTTTGTGTCTTAAGAGAAAGCCAGTTACATAAATCACAACAATAAATTACATCTGAATTGTTGTCTCCATTTTCTTATCATCAAAGCCAGTTTATTGGAGTGTGGGAGCTGTCAAGAACCTCCCTAGATGCTGATATCATTTAGACTGTCCTGGGTTACAACACAGCATTTAGATAAACTTCTGCACAGCAGCTTGAAGACAAATACCTAGGCTTTATTTGGAACATAAATTGACCAGATACAGTTTTCATTATCAACCCAGTATTTAACAATTTCTGTATTTTTGTTCATTCTTTGAAGGGGAAAATGCAACTTTGTTATGTAATAATTACATAATGGTCTTAGACTTGTAACCTCTTTTTTGTTTGTTGTGAAGAACAAAGCATATACTCTCCACAGATAAAAAATTGGTTGCCAAGCTTATTCTTTTAATGATGAAATTCTGCTTCAAAAGATGCACAAAAAACTGCTTCCAGAGTGCTCTGTGTGTTATTCTTGACTGCTCTGGAGTAAGGGAGATAAATGCTTCATATCTTCAGAAATAAGGGGATTTAGATCACCAGACTTGAGGATGTTGGGGACAATTATTTAATAAATCTCAGGTGCAAAAATGAAAAAAATCCAACACCTTCAAAGGTCCTTCGAAGGTGATTATGAAAAATCATTTAAATCCTTATTAAAGACATTTTTCATTTTTAACAGGCATATTTCAACAGAATATGTGATTTTATTAACTTTTTGTTAGAAAACACACAATTTTAAAATTAGAATTAGAATTTACATTATTTTTCACAGATTTCTGTGTAAAAATTAACAATAGGTTATTTTTTACACTCAATACTTTAAAATATGAGTAAAAAGGTAGCATTATGCATCTAAAATGTAGAAATAAGTCAGAGAATGTTTTTTTTCATTTTATATGACTTAACATTATTTGCACCAGCTGACCGCAGTCAATTATAGTATCTACAGACTTTGCGGTAAAAGGTGTTAAAGCTGATTTTTCAAGAATAGACTAATTCTAGGTTTGCGAATTAATTTTCAGCACAAGCGACAACTGCAATAAAATGTAAACAAGTGAAATATGTTCTCACAGAATGATAATTTCTACAGACATATGATTTATTTTAATTTATTCACACCTCCATTGATACATGTGTTACTGCATTGGAAGAATAGAAATAATGAAATGAGTCAGATCTGTCTAATAAACTTCATACATAAGCTACATAAGTAAAATTCATTAAGAATTTTTCACAGGAAGGAAGGTTATGACCAAAAAATCCTTAAATACTGTCAGAGTCTGCATGATAATACTTATTCTGAGTTCTAATCATGCATCATACATGTAGTGCAGAATGTCACTTAGCAACATGGCATGCCTCTTGTGGTTCTCAGGACTTTATTCATGCTTTCGCAGCTGACATTCATGTTTTTTCACTTTGTCGGAGACTGTTTTTTGTTATTTTTTCATTTATATGTAGGTGTTGACTGTCACTTTTGATTTAAGTCTCAGTCAGTGATGCTTATATGAGCATGATCTATTAAGGATATCATTGTACTGAAATATTAATAAATTGCAAATTTAACTGATGAAGAAATTTGGCATATTTACATAATTAAAATATCAGAATAACTATAATTCAGCTAATAAGGTGCACCTTTCTTCTCAGATCACCTCCTATAAATTTTATCAGCAGTTTTTGTACACCCACCCCCCTCAAAGAATCATGGAGGATGTCCTGAAACTGGTCTCTGTGATGCATTTTGTTACATATAAAAGTGTTCAAACCCATAAAAATGTTTAATATTTATATTTTAAAATTTGAATTTTTATTTTTTATGTAAATTTTGTGAAACAAAAAGATGTAATCTTGCATAAATCATGGAAATTCATTAAACACCTTTGGAATTCCTGAGTAAATCCATGAAAAGAGAATAATTATGCATGTTAAATTGAAATTTCATGGCTACTTTGTGTCTTAAGAGAAAGCCAGTTACATAAATCACAACAATAAATTACATCTGAATTGTTGTCTCCATTTTCTTATCATCAAAGCCAGTTTATTGGAGTGTGGGAGCTGTCAAGAACCTCCCTAGATGCTGATATCATTTAGACTGTCCTGGGTTACAACACAGCATTTAGATAAACTTCTGCACAGCAGCTTGAAGACAAATACCTAGGCTTTATTTGGAACATAAATTGACCAGATACAGTTTTCATTATCAACCCAGTATTTAACAATTTCTGTATTTTTGTTCATTCTTTGAAGGGGAAAATGCAACTTTGTTATGTAATAATTACATAATGGTCTTAGACTTGTAACCTCTTTTTTGTTTGTTGTGAAGAACAAAGCATATACTCTCCACAGATAAAAAATTGGTTGCCAAGCTTATTCTTTTAATGATGAAATTCTGCTTCAAAAGATGCACAAAAAACTGCTTCGAGAGAACTCTGTGTGTTATTCTTGACTGCCTTGGAGTTAGGAAGATAAATGCTTCATAGCTTCAGAAATAAGGGAATTCAGATGACCAGACTTAGGGATGTTGGGGACAATTATTTAATAAATCTCAGGTGCAAAAATGAAAAAAATCCAACACCTTCAAAGGTCCTTCAAGGTATCACACCGGTAATTGACCAATCAAAATGAACTTAGTCAAATGTAGGTCCATACATATAAAATTATTTTTCTTTTCTTTTGAGGCGTTTTTCTATTTTCTTCCAAGCCATTTTTACAACTTTGGTACCTGTGCCTAGTAAATTTTATGTACTTTGTGAATAAATAAAGGTTTTTGACAGGAACTATTTTTTTCAGGGCATAGGAGGCTACTTCCTGTGATGCACTCGAGGTGTTTATAAACAAAGTGAAAACACGTGGATTTGAGGGTAGCCCTGTTTGCAGATGGAAAAAGTCCGAAAATGCCGTGTGGGTACCCTGTTTTTTGGTGTCAGCTAATGTGACAGGTAATGTTTAACATCTCCTGCTAAATATTTTTTCATGTAAACAAATACCTGATTTTTAATGATTTTTTATGCTATATAGAATTATATAGTGAAAACAATTACCGGTGTGATACCTTCAATGCCGAAGAGCTCCAACAAGGGAAATAACTCGGATAGAGAAAAAGCACATTTAGACCAACTTTATAGTGCAATAAAATGTTTATTTTTCATTTACCCATAAAGGTTTTAAATGATATTTGCAAAATAACATTTCTTGAATCTAAATCTCCCTACTAGGATTTTCACATCACTTGTCAAAGTCTTTAAATAGTAAGCCTAACAAGGGAGGTAACGAGGACTAATTATTCACTTTTTTGGCATCAGAAAATTAGAAATTGTAAAAACTTTTTGACATACACTATTTTTTACATAGTTTTGATTGTCATGAAGCATATGAAAAAATATGCACATTAAAAGCTTTGCCTAGTAAAATTTTTTTTGATATTATTGATAAATAGCAATATTCACTATAATTTACACCTTTTAGCCCCGTTTCCATGGCAACCGGGTAAACTACCATGCTTTCTTTCATATAGTCAATCTTTTCATTCATTGAAGTTTCAGTAAGAAAAAAATTAGCTGAATCCAAGACATAGCGTGGTCACGTCATTTTGATATTTAGGTAGAATTGATATTAAACAGAGAAGATAATTCTGACCATGACCTAGAAACTTCGACTAAGGTCACTGCACATCCATGGACCAGTGGCACTCTGTGAGTGAAGTATGAGCCAGATATGGCCAAGAGGAGAGAAGATATGCTACGGACATGGATTTTTCATATAATTTTGCTATGACCTTGACCTTGAAACATGGTTCAAGGTCACTGCACACCGGCTACCCAAAGGCAGTCTGTGGGTGAAGTATGAGCCAGATTAGGCCCAGGAGAGAGAAGATATGCTACGGACAAGGATTTTTCATATAATTCTGCTATGACCTTGACCTTTAACCTAGAAATATAGTTCAAGGTTACTGCACATCGGCTACCCGAAGACACTCTGTAGTTGAAGTATGAGCCAGATTGGGCCAAGGAGAGAGAAGATATGCTCCGGACAAGGATTTTTCATAAAATTCAGCTATGACCTTGACCTTTGACCAAGAAACATGGTTCAAGGTCATTGCACACCGATTACCTAATGGCACTCTGTGGGTAAAGTATGAGCCAGATTGGGCCAAGGAGAGAGAAGATATGCTCCGGACAAGAGATCTCGGACGGACGGACAGCCGACAGGCCGGCCGGACAGACTGATCACTATAGGGCGTCCGCCAAAGAGGGGCCCTAATTATGCTTACAATATACTTAGTAAACTTGGTACAAAGCATCCTTGGGTAAAGGGGATTTTAAATTGTTAAAATAAAGGGCCAAGTTCCTTCACAAGGGGAGATAATCAAGAAAAGAAAAAAGTAGGGTGGGGTTATAAAAACTCAAGAATCACCTGGTCATAAAATCTTCAATTTATATGGAAGCATCCTGGGGTAGTGTAAATTCTAAATTGTTCAAATTATGACCCCTGGGGTAGGGCTGGGCCACAATAGGGAATCAAAGTTTTGCATAGATATATATAGGAAAAAACTTTAAAAATCTTCTTCTCAAGAACTACTAGGCCATAAAAGCTTCAACTTATATGGAAGCCTCCTGAGGTAGTATAGATTCCAAATTGTTCAAATCATGACCCCCAGGGGTAGGGCTGGGCCACAACTGGGAATCAAAGTTTTACATAGAAATATATAGGAAAAAATCTTCTTCTCAAGAACCACTGAGAATATTATATGTTATATGGTCAAAGCTATTCAGTTGATTTATATTATAGACATTTAATATCTTAGTTGTACATAGTTCAGCTAAAGTACAAAAATAAGAGATAACGAGATACGATCTCGTTGCGAGCAACGAGTGGGTCTTCCGTCCGATTCTTGATGAGATGAGATAAGAATTTGATTGAGATTTTCATTCTAAAATAATGATTTTCCATAATCTGTAAAAAGACATTAGATATTTAATACCTAAAAAATCGGTTTTTGGCCCCTTACGGCCTCTAATTTTAGGAATCAGCCCTTTTTATTCATATCATCTTAAAGCTCTAAGGATTTTGATCACTTTTTGTTCAACAACAATTCAGAGATTCTTTTTCGTTGCCGAGTTATTTCCATAAGAAATATTTAGGTGCCAACCCTTCAACTCCTTAATGGGGACGTTTAGCGAAAAATGAAAGGTTGCATATTGTTCAGAACATGATTTTAAACATCTTTTGTTCAATATTACTTATCAAAATATACCCAACTTTTGAGATATAAAGCGTCAAAGATTTAGCATGTTGGCCCCTTGTGGCCCCTAATTTTGTAACATACGACATTAAAATCATAATATATTTAAGGAATGACTCTAATTCTTGGCCATATTATCGAGTATAATCTGGTTTGGGTCAGTTTACGCTTTATAATCCGCGAAGCGGATTATAAAAAAGCGTAAACAGACCCAAACCAGATTATACTCGATAATATGGCCAAGAATTAAAGTCATTCCTTATAATTTAATTTTAAAATAATTAAACAACTTTTGATGTAAAATATCAATATGTCGCTTTTTATGAGTTCAAATTTACCGCGCAATAATACAACCGTAGTAACGGAAGTGATTTGAAGCGAGGGGAGGTAATAACTGATACATAGATCTAGCAGCCATGATGTTTGTTTACATGAGGTAAGAACGAGTAATTGTTTAAAGTTGAAGGTACATTTATTAAATCTGAAATTTTCCATGGATTCCGAGGACTGGAAATGAGGGGATTGCATGGATATAATGATTAAGTTGGTCGTCAAAGGGGTGTGTCCCCATACCAAACCAGATTATACAAAATGTTTTGCGTTCCTTTTTGGAAATCAACCAATGAGAGGCGAGAATACAAACAAAATTAAATTATAGCTGTAGATTGTTGAGATAAACATTTTTGCTTCAGTAATGTATATCAAAATATTGCTTGCTAAAGAGCTATCGATTAAAGACTTTTGGCCCCTGTGGGCCCTTAATTGAGTGTCCAGCCCCTTTTTCTGGATTTTACCTTAAATCTCTCATGATTTTGAACACTTTTTGTACAAAAATTATTCAGAGATTCTGTTTCGTTTTCGAGTTATTTGCAAAAGAAATATTTAGGGGCCTTTCGTTCAATATTACTTATCAAAATATTTCCAACTTTAGAGATATAAAGCGTCAAAAATTTAGTATTTTGGCCCCTTGTGGCCCCTAATTATGTACCATACGACATGAAAATCATAATATATAGTTGTAGATTGTTGAGATAAACATTTTTGCTTCAGTAATGTATATCAAAATATTGCTTGCTAAAGAGGTATCGATTAAAGACTTTTGGCCCCTCTCGGCCCTTAATTTGAGTGTCCAGCCCCTTTTTCTGGATTTTACCTTAAACCTCTTATGATTTTGAACACTTTTTGTTCAACAACTATTCAGAGATTCTTTTTCGTTTTCGAGTTATTTGAATAAGAAATATTTAGGGGCCAGCCCTTCAACTCCTTATTGGGGACGTTTAACGAAAAATGAAAGATTGCATATTGTTCAGAACATTATTTTGAACATCTTTTGTTCAATATTACTTATCAAAATATTTCCTACTTTTGAGATATAAAGCGTCAAAGATTTAGCATTTTAGCCCCTTGTGGCCCCTAATTATGTAATATACGACATCAAAATCATAATATACAGTTGTAGATTGTTGAGATAAACATTTTTGCTTCAGTAATTTATAACAAAATATTGACTGCTAAAGAGTTATCGAAAAAAGACTTTTAGCCCCTTTTGGCCCCTAATGTGACGAGTCAGCACTTTTTTCTTGATATCATATTAAAGATCTTGTCATTCTGCACAAATTTTGTTCAGTATCTTTTAAAAAAATAATTATACTTTAAAAGATATGATGCAAAACGTCTCAAAAAATCACTCATGATTCGTGTCCTAAATTTTGACCCCTACCGCGCTTCCATACTAGGCACTTCCGGAAGATTTGAAAATATAGGTGCACAACTACAACATGTATATTCTTGTCTATATTCACTGAAAATTTCAGCACTCTAGCTTTTGTCGTTTTGGAGTTTTTGTGTCGACAAAATGGTCACTTAAAATTCAATTAAAGGGCGATACTTTCCGACCGGAAGTGATTTTTCAAAAATTAAAAAAAAAATGGATCAGGTTTAGATCATGATACATCATCTCTGAAAATCTCAGAGAAATCCGTCCATGCATCTCTGAGAAATCTTCTGTACAAAAATTGTAAGGAAAAAAAGGAAGAATAATAATAATAAAAGTGAAAAAAAAACAATAGAATAATAGAAGGGTCTTCCGCTGAAGACGTAAGACCCTAAAAAGAATGCTTAAAAATGTACTTTATTAGGGGTTGTAGTGCAAAAACATGTCGGAGAAAATTCCGACGGGGTATAGACCCAGAATCAAAATATCTTGGAAAATTGGGCATTGAAACTTTAAAAATCATCCAAATGTATATCTCTTCATCCTTAGCTACACTTCTGTTTGTTTGAGCTGAGCTGCTACGAAATGTGAAGCAATTCGTTATTCGAGTAAATAAATCTTGTTATGTCCTAATACACACAGAAATTAAAGGGTAGCCAGAGATCAGGAAAATCAATACTAGTTTATGTGAAAAAGTGTTCATTTTAAGGCATTTTAGTTATTTCTTTAGGCTTTGAATATCGCATGTTCAGATGCGTCATGGACGCCGCCACTCAACGTGGATATCATCCTATAAATATGTACAAGGAATCATAAGTTTTGCTTTCGAATAAACAGGTGGCCGAGAAGAGGGTTTATTGTAATGCTGCAGCTGAGCTTGAAAATATAATTTGAAACGATAAATAATACTCGGCAGGAAAAAGAGAGGCAAAACTCTGTACAAATCTTCAGAGAAACCAAACAATTGACAACTATGTAGGACAAATA